TTCGCTGCTAGCAATTGTCCTTCTATTCTGTCTATACGAGCCTCCATTAGCAGGGAGAATGCCAACTCAAGGTCATGCATTTGAATACACAATTAAAAGTGTGGTGTGGCGCTGCCTGATTCACTGTGATTGTGCATAAAGCCGAATTAGAGATTTTCAGGTCACCGGGACAACTGAGGAAACGTGTGTGTTTACATCCATTAGTCAAAGTGAATGGGGTGTGCATTGATTTTTTTCAGTGCACCATGTCCATATTGATCTGGTATGAAAACACTCACTGTTGCTATTAGTCAGTGGAAAAAGTAGGCCATTGTGTGAATTACTGAATTTGTTTTTTTAGAAATATTTTTTCAAAAGATGGATGGAGTCTAATGGCAATTCTTTATTGTCTTTATTCAAATGTATTACCCCTCTGGCCCTTTTATGATAGTTTGATCTAATTTGACAGATGGTCTTGGTTTAGTTCTAGGTTTAGTTGAATCTTTGACATTAATGTAATGAACTTTATTGAACCAAATTAATCAATCTTTTTTTTGTGTGTGTAGACTGATTTCATATTACATTTACAGTTTGTCCATCAATAAAGTTGTTGTCTTGTAATTGTGCTTTGCTGACAAGTAACATAATACATTAACATAAGATTGCTTTCTTGAAAACTAGCCTTCTTGATTCTAGATTTTCACTATTAAATGCGAGATTTCCTTGCTGTTTCCCTATCTACATCACACCCCATCCCCCACGTCCCACCCAACAGCAGTCTGGGGGTGATTTATCTTAGTATTGTTGTCAACAGTAATAATACAGGACTTGACATGGACACCCCTAAGGCCACTTGGCATCCTATTACATTAGCTTAATGTACGTTGAAAGCAGTAGCAGTAAGTACCGATCACCTAGCCTAGCATCAACCTTCTCAAATTGACCTTTAATAATCACAGTAAAGCAATTGTCCATCTGGTCAACTTTAATTTCTACTTCCTAGTCCCCCACTAACCTTTAAAACCAATCCCATCGAGGCAGGCTGTACACCTTCATAGCAGGTGTGTAATCCTCAAAGCTGATGAATGACAGACAGAAAATGCTCTGATTTTAATAGAGCCTCATGTGTTGGGGAAAAGCCGCTTGGTGCAAACGAGGCACGGAAAGCAATCACGTTTAACATTTCAATAGGCCACTCTCATTACTATAATAATGTATATGTGTCTGTCTGGATGCAGTCTACAAACCTAACCACTGCAGCTGTGCGGTGGCTTCATTATACAGTAATTGAATGCAATAACTTACAAATATGCTTTTTGTGAAATGCTTTTAAGAAATGTATTCATAGCATTGATACCAATCTGTAATTCTGGGGTTGCAACGACTAACTAAGATTCATAGTGTTACTAATCAAAAGTTAAAATAATTTATTACTAATTTTGGTTCCCAATTTAATAATAGAAAACTGTCATCTGAGCAGACAAAATAGATAGTGTGTTTTTATCAAAGACAGAGCTGAAATTAAATCAAAATAAATAGAAAATATTTCTCACAATATTTTAGCAATATTCTTATTATTCCAATATAGCAAAAAATCCACAAAAGGGCAGAAACATTACTTTTTATTCTACAGTTTATACTCTTACTTGAAAGATTACACTTTAGTTTGTAATTATTTCTTAATTTTATTTTTTTAATCAGCTGTTTTATCAGCTCTTATCATAGACCATATACTTGCCTATCTCCAAAGCAAGTCTTATTTTTCTGCATATCTATACCTCTATCTATTATATCATTCATACATTTATAGAGCATGGTTTGCCCCCATAAAATTACGCAGCATTTAATCAGTCCTCACACACAGGCAAGCACTAGTCCCATACAGTGCTGATAACTCTATATCTAATGAGCACATTTCTCTCATGGCCCTAGATTTAATTTAATGAAGTCATGGCTGTTAGTGCGCGCCTCCTCGCAGTGTAACTGGCTCTTATGGAGGTTTAATCCAGTAGACAGAGCCAGAGCAGGGTCTTATCATCGCCAGGGGGTAACATGGAGTATTTGGCAGAGAATACTGGCACATGTGCTTGGAGCTATATGACAGTACTGTTCTTAGTACTGCATATTGGTGGCCAAAGTAGAGAAAAAAGGAAAGATGGTGCATAGTCTAGAAAAAGTATTTGAGTAAGAAGATGGCTTTAGAAATAGCCATGGTAGTTCTTTGGACAAAAATATGGGTTTAGATTGAGATAACCTTCACTAGTAATATTTTTAGCCTAAGATAGACACTTATTAATCCAACCAATACAATGATTTTGTATTTATATTGTATCAGATAATTTGCTGCTATTCAAATTAATTATAAATTGTAATAAATTATGAACGTTGTATTGTCTGTTGTGTGGTAGAACTTAATTACGAAAAAGGCAAACATAAAGCTGTCAGTTTATTTTTTTATTTTTTTTTTATTTAGGCCGTTTTTAAGATTTTGCGATCCAGAGGCTTTAGTTGTCTCTACAGCATTAATGAGAAATGTGCAGAGAAAAAGGAGAGCTATTTGGCAAACAGTTGAGGCGGGGAAGTGACTGGGACACTTAGGTGGTAACAACCACATCTGCACAATGCCTTAACCACTGCACCATCAGGAAGCACAAGCTGTCAGTTTCTTTTCTCTTTTTTTTGTATTTAATAATAATTAAAAAAAAAGAAGCTTATTCTTCAAATCTATACTAGTTACATACAAGACTAGTCAAAGCATAGTTAAGTTGGTACAGGGGTTATTCTTTTTCACTTAATGGAGTTCAGGCATTCCTATCAATGGTGCCATTCTCTGCATCCTCACGCCCCATTCCTTCCCCAGCAGCCTTTCGCTCAGGCTAATTTGAAAACCCAGAAGACAAAGGACTCTTTCAGTACATGTCAGGTCGGTCACAATGCCCACCCCAGCCCCAGTGCCCAGCCCCTGTGCCCAGACATGTGCCCTCCTCTGGCTGCTGCTCACTCTCCTCCCTGCATCACCAGAGGACCATTAGGCCAGCATCATTATTGTCAACACAAGGCCATTCTCACTCAGCCATCTCTATCAGGCCAATTAGAGCTGCAGCATGGAAGTGGAGCCATGTCAGCACTTTTACAGATAAGGGACAGCAACAGGACACAGTGCAATGCAAGCTAATAGTGCTATATTTCACACGGAAGTACTGGTACTATAAGGCTGATGGTGATACCTTGTAGTATGTATTATATCAAAATCAATATTAGGGCCAAACCAGACTCATTATTGGATGGAACCAGGAATACAGGAATGTCCCATTGAGATTTGGAATCTCAATTTTCAGGGGAATTCTGCCTATTGTAAATTTTTTCAGTGGATGGGGAAACTGGAGCATCCAGAGGAAACTAAAGGAGGCATGGAGAGAACATGTAAACTGCACCTGGTCTGCATGTAGAGCATGTTATTCTATATTACCATCATTTAAAAGGACCTAATTTTGCAAGAATCTGTATCTTGCTTCACTGTAGCTTCTGGTCCTAATCTCCGTATACTCCACACAGCTGACATCTGTCTCGTGCAAAGGAACTACGGATTCCTGTAGACATGCTTTATGCACTAATCCAGACTATTTTCTGCTGCTATAATGAAGCTGAAATAACCCACAGCAAATCAGTGGACTCAGCTGATGTAAATCGTCCATACATAAATGTGAAGAATGTACAGGCCCTCGGGTTTATCTCCTGCTGTGTGAGAGCATTATAGAAAGACTAAATGGGTCATGTGACAGACAGCCGCATATGTCGTCAATGGGTTTTAACATTGCAACAACTATGAGCTGCTTTCCCTGTTACTACAATGGCACGGTTGTATTTGAGTGCTACGTGACTCAAGGGATATCTTTTAAAATGTTCACAACTTCAAACCTGTTCATTATTATTCTGGTCTGCATTTGGCTGCTGAGAAGATGGTGGTTAGATCAAAGCACTTTTAGGTGAAAACTGGCTCCTACACCTCTATCATTCACTGTTCGTCTCTTTTGAACCATAGCCCCATGGGATGTGTGTCCAGTGGGCTTTCGGTCTTGTCTTGTATAATGAGGTCAATCGTTACGTGCACAGCATACAGCAATGAGAGGAATTAAAGGGGTCATGCATTGTGTAAAATAGGACATAGGCGATCAAGGATTGCATTATGATTATAATTAGTTATTATTACTGTATGAAGGACTTATTTGGACTATAATAAGTGTGAGTCAGCTGCAAAAAGGCAAGCCTAATTTTCAAGTCAGTTTAGGTTCTCACGTGCTTAATTGCTTTTAACTACTTAATATAGCACACCCAAAAGAGGATTTGTGTAGATTTGACTCATCGAATCAGACTGTAACAAATAAAGGTACCTAACCAAGCTAAGGTGTGTATGTGAAGTTGTGAAATAGGCCAAACCACAACCTATGTTATTACTTCTGTAAATTAGCAGATATTAATATGATTGTCATAGGGATTTCCTAAACAAAATGATCTAGAAAGTAATTATTAAAGTAATCTATATACAATTTGAATGAATCATGTTGGGTGAACAAGGACAATATATGGTTATTAGGCCACTGAACATAGCCAGGAGTATCTAAACCATTGGCAAGGGATCCAAAGACAAGAATAGTCAACACATTGTGGTAGTTCAACTACCACAATGTGTTGACTAGTAGCTTATCATCACCGGGTATAGAGCGAATGAATAATGCTGAATAAATAATGCTGAATAATGCTCTGTAAAGTGTGTTTGGGGACAAAGAATGTCTGTGAAAAGCAGTATATATAAATAAAGACTTACTTTACTTACTTACTTAGTATTGTATTGCATTGTGAAATCTTGCTATGCTTCCACTGTGAGAAGTATTATACTCTCTCTGATGACTGTGCTGGAGGTGTCCTTGTATTGTACATTCTCTGTTGTATATTCTCATATACAATCTGATGCAATATAATATACTTTTTGCATGAGCACACATAGTACTTCTCTGCCTCACCTCTCTGATGTCCTGTGAAATGGTATTGAGCCGTTCGTTCTCAGACTGCGTGTTGGTGAGTAGGTTGCGGGTTTGACGGAGCTCGTTCTGCAGTTCCAGGACTCTCTGCTCGTAGTAGGCCTCTTTACAGGCAGACTCCAGGATCAGGGACTCCTCACGGCTCTCCCCATCTGCAGCCACCTTCCTGTGGTTGGAGTGGGCTTGTCCGAAAGCCTGGGGGTAAAGACAGAGGTAAATCACAAAGCAAAATGTCCAAGTTGCTCAAGTCATGGTTTAAAGGGACTGTAGGTTTTTAGGTGGAGGGTCTGAAACCTTTCATGCTCTAAGATGTCGTTTTGCCTAGAATACTCATTAAAAAGTAATAAAAAAATGTGACTACGCCAAACTAAGTATCTTTTGGCAATTAAAACTTGAACAAAAAGGAGAGTTTATAACAGTAACTATGTCGTTTCCATGCAAAGAAACATTTTCATGAGACAAGCAGGTGGTGGACCCTCCAGCAGAAAACGGAATAGTGTGTCTTTAAGAACATTCATTCTAATATTTATGTCAAAATATGGTTTGGTTATAGAAGTTCATCTCAGGATGCAAGATGAAAAGTCATTCCGATTGCGGTAGACTGTAGAAACCCTCCATCTGGAAAGAATCATCTCATACTCCCAAATGCATTCCAGATTTTCACTGCTAGTTCAATTTATTCCTCACGTGCTCAGACACAGTGAGCAACAGTTTTTTGGTCTTTTTGAGACATAAGAAATTAATTTGGGTCAATCGCTATTCAGTTCAAATCTGACAAAAACAAAGTACAGCTACTTTTGTTGAAGAGGTAAAGGTTTAATTAAATCATGACTTACAAACAGATTTAAGACACTGCTAGACCATTTTGTCTACATGAGAATTTAGGTTTCAAGGTCTCAAAATAATCATATCTGTGATTACAAACTGTGCCCAATACCCAACCACCAGTGATGTGTTGAGATGGAAACTGATAGTCGTGTTTATGTGGGCAAAATCACCTAAGGCTCTTCTGAATCAGGCCTGGTTTGTACCTACATTCTCATCTCGCTCTCTCACTTTCACATTCTCTGTCTTCTTTCACTCTCTCTCCTCTCTCTCCCTCTCTGACCCGCTAACCCTCTATAACTGCACGTGACTGGCGGCTGCAGGATTTTCCCCTGGTTTCACTGCATATTGTAATAATCCGAGTAATTCCTTTAGAGGAAGGGAATCTGAAAATTCGAACAAGTCCAACTGACCTAGTTGCAAGGACTTAATGTGAAAGTGTAAAACCAATTCATGACAGGTTAGAAAAGGGCAGACTGGTGCCATGTCTCGTGCCACTTCAGCAGAAAAAATTGAGCATGTTGCTGCTGATGCGAGATAAAAATATATATAAATAAAATGAAGTCAAAATAAAAATGTGGGTCAAGAATGGATGACTATCAAGCTAAAAGGCTTAACAACTTCACAAAATTAGCAGACCAAAATTCTGCTCAATATACTCAGATAGATACAAATTTTATCTCCCCAAAACTGAAAGCAGAAAGATATAGTACTGATTAAGCATTGTTTGAATAAAAGACAAGATTAACCCAATCAAAAAAGGGAAATCCCATCGCAATAATCTTACTGGATGTGGTATTGAAGGCAGAGCAATCAGTCCAAGCCTGCACCCTTTGCCAAAACCTTCTGACCTCAGGCCTGTAATCTACAGTGTTCTTCTTAAGAGTGGCTTTGAAATACTTTCATCAGTGGTCAAATTAAGGATAAATGCATTCAACCTTATAATCTCGCAACAAGCTTCCCCCCAAAATTCTGACTCATTTTATGCACTATGTTTCTGTCCATACACATGGAAATATGCTGAATTAATCTGTTGTAAAGCTGTTCAAAGCAGTGTTTGTGTCATTGAAGGTGACTGCTTTGTTTAAATGATTCTCTAGTGTTTCAATATCTCAAAAAACAGTCACAGATATCCTGAAGCACCACATCAAAGCATAGCATAGCAGAATGGCTATGATCAAAAGCATCATGTGATAGTAGATATATTGCACTTTAAACTGAATCATTCACCAATAATTTACTGTCATCAGCTTTAGCAAGTGACCAATAAAAGCAGTCAATGGACCAACCATAAATAAAATACCCACAGGCATACCCACAAGACTGTTTTTAAAAGCACCATAATAGGAAATCATGCATCCTGTTGCATCATGGTTGCTAAGGATGATATTAGCACCAAACAAAAAAGCCCTGGTCTCTCTAGAGATCAGGGATCATTTTAAACGCACAGCTTGCTGTCTGTGCATTCACATCTCACTAGTTTTTATACGTTGCTATGACAGCATTGTCACAGGTATCAGGGTCTGTCATTAAACAACAGCCTCTGTGGTTGAATACAAGTCTGAAACATGGACTAACTGTCTCTTTGTCATCTAATCTCACAGGACAACGGGTTTCAAAGTCCACTGATTACAGAGCACAACTCAAGGTTCAACTACACCCAGCTATTTACAGAGTTTAGTAAAGAATAAAGTGTCCCACATGTGTGAGAGAGACCAAACAATTGATCTACCCCATCACAATAAATTGGCTTGGGATTTCTAACCAAAGAACAGAACATTGGCTAAATCAGTTACTGATTTGTTGGAAATAAGGACATGCAATGGTTCAAAAATACAATCTTTTGTCTGAAATTAAAAATACAGAAAGCTTGGAACATACCACATGACAATTACTAAGGTTTATTTACAGTATTAACTTGCTGTTAGTACAATATTGGCAATAACTTCCAGTCTATTGGGGTTCATGTGACAGAATAGATCAGATTTAGTCTCTTCATAGAAAGGATACAACTGCTTGGATTTTCAGTGCTATGATTGTGAAATTCATTGCAATCACATCGTTGTAGTTTTGTGTCTCTTGGATTTAGCTAAGTGAGATTTCCCCATTAATTAAAAGTATGTCTGCCAAACATGTATTTTTTGCAATACTGAAACCAAGATATAAAATATATATATATATATATATATATATATATATATATATATATATATATATATATATATATATATATATATATATATATATATATTATCTTTGAGTTTTTCCCTTGACTCACACCCAGCAAACAGAGAAAAACAGGAAGTGCCTCCATATTGCCCTGTTGTGTGGGCTGATGTTTAGGTGATCAGGGCCTTGGTGCATATTTGTGCCATGATGTAGTGAGGCCTGCTGACACATCCTTCACTGTGCTGCTGTGTTAGTTACTCACACAAGGCTGGTCAGTGTTAGAACAGGCCACGGAGGCGACTGCAGAGGAGGAGAGGTGGAGCAAGGGGAGGACACGAGCGCTGAACAATCCACTAAACAGTATCTATGTCCACGTGAAACAAGACTCACGTGTAGATGGAACTCTGGTGATTCTTTGCTGTAATAAACAAAGGAGATGTCTTCCTTGAGCCTGGATTCAGATTTTTATTCACACACCACTGGGCTGCTATATTTAGAAGCCTATTATCATCTGACCATAGCACACAGAGTCACAGACCTCTCGGGCATTAGGTTACACAGTATCCTGTAAACAGCCACTTCCTACTGTGGATGTCATATAGTTTGGTGTACTAAAATCTATCTCAAACATCACTAAATGAAATGCATATTATTAAAATCTTGCATTAGAATTGGTGATAAAATGCCTAATTACATTGTTTTTGCAATTAAACACATTTAAATTGAATCGAGAACTAATCGTGTCAAACTGTCAGCCTGGGGACATTTTAAAAGAGAGGTTCACATCCAAATACAGCCAGTCAAGAAACAGGACATTTTTTTCTCTTTCTTGTTTGTGTTCATGAAACTAATAAATAAGTCAATGTCTTGATAAGAAAAAAATAAAAGTGAAAATCTGAATCAGTACAAAAGTGTTATTTTTTGCCATATTTCCCAGTCCTTATTTCTGAGACTGTCTGAGAATCCCTGTTGTTTTTGCCCTGGCCTGCTGTTTAACATTGTCCTGAGGAATGCACGTCACATGGATTTCTGCTTGTTTTGGTTAACACAGTTTACACATCGAGCTGTTCCTGATTAGACACAGCTATATTCAAGTCAATGCCACTCGCTGAAATGAGTAACATAGATAGGGCATTATGATTACCAGGAATTTGGACTGTGAAACTGTAAAAATACTGGAAATTATTATCAAATGCAGAACTAAATAAACCTCATGAGTAGTTAGCACTGGTTCATTAAAGCCTGGAATCAAGAGAAATTATATTATTACAACAGTCCTAATGTATACTGAAGTGAATCAATTTGAATGTAGTTGTGTATAGTGTTACCAAATGAATATCCGACTGACCTGCCAACTTCACAATTTTTTAAAGAAAAAATATAGAGAAAGAATTGTTTCTTTAAGCTAGACCTAACTGTAGAATTATGGCAACTGACTGCTGAATGTTTATGATCAGGGAATTAATACTGGATGCCATTTTAATTTGTTTTTAATAGTATCATGTTCAATCAGTACAAACAATTGTGATCACTTGTCTTATCACCTAGCCCTAATATCACACATTAAAATGATTCTATGATCTTGACACAGATTTTGTTATTAGTTCATATAACATCCTCTTCAGCTAGCCTGTTTGTGTTTTGAATAGAGAAATATTTCATACTAGACTGTCATCTGAGAAACAAAGATACAGTCACAGAAAAAGGCGCTAAAATGTCTGTGAGTGAGGCCGAGATATTTGAGAGCTGCTACTTGGCACGGAGCCATATTGATTTTCAGTGCGGCACCGAGCTGCAGGGTTTTTTATTCCAGCTCTTGGGCGATTTCACACTCTCCTCCACTCTCACTCGCCCAATTTCTGCAGAGTGCACCTGGTGTGTGGGCCCTGAGGAGACTCTGCTATCTCAGGTTAAGGGAAGACTGCTGAAAGCCTGGTGGGTCTTTAAAAGCAGTGCAGTGAATGAAGGCAATGCTAAAGACTAGGGGCTGACTACAAACAGAATATGCACCCGATGTGAGGCTATCCCAAGTTCACATGGCAAACATTTTCTAAAAAGAAAAAAAACAGCTGCAGGCCTACTCAGGCTGTAAGGAGGAGTACAGGAGGTACAGGAGACTGAAAATCATACAGAAATAATATTATAATGATGAATATTTGGACTATTAACAAAAAATATGAAGAAAAGCAACTTTAATATTG